TATAAAGATATGTTTATTATTAGCACAAATAATACAAAATGAAAATAATAAAACTTCAAATGAAAAATTTTCAGCTCTTGTTTTGGTTCTCGTAATGACTCCAAAGTATCTTAAGAGCTAGAGAAAATTTTGATCATAAAATAACTACAAATAAAAGTACTCAGCCATTTGAATATAACTATGATTTTAAATTATTCTTATTAAAGCTAACGATGCAACTGAAAAACAAAATCATACTTTCAAGCATAATTATTGAAATTAAAAATAAAAAAAATCATATATTTTGTGCAGTATCCAGTTAATTAGGAAAGTAAATTTTGAAATCAACATTTTTTTCAAAATAGTCAAACCAATTTCAATAAAAATATTCAATAAATTAATACACAAATTATTAATACATTTAAAAAAAATAGAGATCAAATTTTTGTTGATCAAGTTTTAATTATTATATTCACCAAATGACGAGGATCAATTTTCATTAATTCAATTATTAATAAATAAAATTTTTTAATGCTTTGACCCTGCGAAAATGATAAAATAATAAATTTTGAATCTCAAAAAATACTGAATCGATTTTCAATATCTTTATTTGGTTTTTCTGTGCCACTTTTTTCTACACATAAGATTTCAGTAGTTATTTTTTTATTAATTACAAAAAATTAAAAATTAATTAAAAAATTTTAGAATGCGCACTAAAAAAAGTTTACAAATTTTTTTTTTTTGAAAATGGATACAGCATTATCTGAAAAAAGTTTAAGAGAATGAGCGTTATGTTAAAAAGAACATGGAAAAGCTTTCTTTTTTAACAGAGATCTCGATTTTCTGAAGAAAAAAAAAAATTCTAAAAACCAAAAAACTATAGCGATAGTCGATTGCATCTCAATAATCAGGCTCTTTCCTAAAATTACAATTCAGTATATCACAATTTCGAAACAACAATATATATTATTCATATATATATATTTATATATATATATAGATATAAAACTTTGAGAGAAAAACCTATAAACTTTTTATACACAAATCAAGTAATTTACATTTCAATAAATGGCATAATGTAATATATTATCTATATACATATTAAAAAATCTTTTTTCCGTAATACTGAAAAAATATATAAACAGTAAATTGTGCACACAAACGCTGAGCTATAAAAGCATCATTTTAAATAAGTAAAAATAGCAATTTTAATCGTCTTTCTTTCATTTTAAGCTGCTCTAAAGAATTCAAATTATGAAACTAACAAAAATTTTAAAAAATACTTTTAAATATTTAATTGCAGAGGTATACCACTTTCTGCAATAAAGACTAGTTTAAAATTGTGGCCTCCAACACTTGAATCATAAATAGCAACCTATAACCTATTGCAACAAAAAATATTTTTTAATATAAGAGACGTCTAATATTGCCAAAATGCTATAAATAATTACTTTAAGGCCGCTAAAAACGCGTAATAACAAAGGTTGGTTTCAGTACATTGAGTTTACTGAATTAAAATATAAAATTGTTTGCATTTTTCAGCTGTTGATATCTGAAATAAATGAAAAAAAAATCGAACAGTTTTAATTTGGTTTAAAAATAATTTTCTTTTATTTTCAACTAGTAATAGTTTTTAGTGCATTTTTCCCTACAAAGAAAACATGCATATCTCTAAAAAACATATATATATATATATAATAAATAAAGTGTTGGGAGTGCCAATTTTTAAACATTGGATGCAAATTTAACATTTGAAATAAATGAAATCGATGAAGAATGAAAATCAATAAAAAAATAGCTTTATAACAGCACAGCTTTTTTTTTTTTTTTTTTTTTAGTAAACTGAATAAAAATTGCGTTAACAAAAGAGAGAGTTAATGTTTTTGTTTATTTCCTTAATCAGGCACTGCTAAGCATATTTAAAAATGTCACGAGACTATCCTTTCTAGGTTTTCTGGGAATATTAAGTTCTTTTAAAATATCAGCTTTTACAGCATTAAAAATAATTGAGCAATCACGATTCATCTATTAAAGTGATCTTTAGTACACAATTCTCTAGCAAATGCTATAAAATAATTAACATAATTTTCAACTATGTTGGAATTAACTGTCAATAATTGCAATTTGCAAGCTTTTAGACTAGGAAGATGCCGGTATACAATTTTCCGCACTATTTCTTAGAACGACATTTCCCCCAGAAAAGCTAATAATTTTGAGTCGTGACTTGTGCTCAAAGGGTTAAAAAAAAGTTTTGAACAGTCACATTTTTAAGAAACTATATAAGTCGCTATATCTTGCAACATAATGCGGAAAAATTTCTTAAAATCAAATTTTTTCTTTGTTTCAGAATTTTTTAAATTGCACAATTTTATTAAAAAAATTCTTTCAGAAAAAACAAGACATATGTTGTGCTATAAATTGTTTATTAGAATATTTTGACAATTTTTATGAAATTAGAAAGAAAATTTGAGTGTAATTTCTTTCAGTTAGGACTTTGCCGGCAAATAAATATGAGATAGCTGCCGTCTTGCGATGTATTTTATTTATTTTACTTTAATCCAAGAAGAGATTAATGAGAAAAATAAGACAAATAGATCAAGAATTTAAAGCGTATTAAGAAATAATTTTATATCCTAGTCCTATCCATTAACGTGGCTTGATAAAAATTTCGTGATTTTCCTTCTTTGCTAGCAAGAATAAGCATGGTTAATAACTTATTTAGCATTAACACCATAGTATTCCCTTGAAATAACAAATTTCTCCCCCCTCTGATTTTCACAAATAGATCTGCTGAGAAGCTATTTACCCATAACATAGTAATTTTTCCTTTCAATAACCAGAACTCCGCCCCCCCAATAATAGACCTTTTGAGAAATTTCCCTACACATCATAGTTTTCCCCTTCAAATACCAGATTTTTGTTTTAGAAATTTATTCTCTACAATCTAGTCTAGCCTTGAAAGTTAGTTTTTGAATTATTCAAACTTAATATTCCCATTGATGAAAGAAATGAATCACAAAATATTCAAAAATAAAAAAAGATTAAAAGATTAGCTTTTTTTAAGAATTGTACCTTGATTAAATGTATAAGCTGTGCCTGTACAATAAAAATATACAAACCATTAGTTATGACAACAATATGTACATAGAATATATACATTAATCGTCTCACAAGCCCCAATACGTCTTTGGCTCTCATATTGCAACAGACATTACCAACATTGAAAACTTCTCTCATTCTTTATACATTAGCTAATAATATTTTCTTACAAACATTACTTTTCTCTTAGTAGATAAAAATATTTTAGTTATTTAAAAAAAAAAATCACAAATCATTGCAATGATTATTGTTTATACTTAACTTACACTTCAACCGTCATTATAAAACAATGACACAGTATCAACTTAATTTATTTTTTTTCACTATCTATATGTTGTATAAGATGAGTCAATATATACATTGATTCTTTGGTAGTGACCATGTGTTTAAAAAGTACAGTTATGACGTTTAATGGTATGTTCCGTTTTTTTCAGTATAAAGTCAGCATTTTTTTTTCAATGTGAAAAATGCTGCATTGTATAACAAACATGACTTATAAATGTGTATGGCAATGTTGAGATATAAGTTACCTCGGTTTTAAAACAGTCTAGTTAATAACTAAAATTACAATGCAAGAATCATTTCTATTTACTTTCTCGAAATTTAAAAATTATTTACCCATACGATTACGAATTGCATGGCATTAAAAATAGAAAGTGTTTATTAAAGGAGGTGATTGCAGTACAGGGTATTCTGTAATGACTGTTCTTAATGTATATTATAATTCTTGTCAAAAATTTCTACACGTTAGAGGTCGCAAATTATTGCTAAGAGAAATAATAAAAAACGTTACCGAAGTCTAATGACGACGGCTGAGTAAAGTGAAACGTAAAAATCAAAACATGTTTGACTGCTGGAAGAAATGGTAAAATTCTGTATTAGAAAAGTCTAAGCTTCAGCAGCCAATAAAACAAATTTTTTTTGTTTATAATCCCGCTTCCTCAGTAGTGATTTTAATAGTTTTTGTATGTTGCGCGCTTAAATGGAAAGAAACCCTTAATGCACATGCTTTTTTTACTTAATTTTTAAAAAATTTCCATTACGGACAGTGATAAGAAACCCAGTATAAGGAATAAACATAAATATGATTCCAAAAGATAAATGTTTGCGGTACAAAAAGTATTTGTAAAAAAAAAAAAGAAAAAAAAAAAAAAAAAAAAAACNTAAAAAAAAAAAAAAAAAAAAAAAAAAAAAAAAAAGGAATTAGAAATTTGCTAAAAAAAATATATAAATAATTTTGTTTTTAAATTTATGAATTAAAGTTAATTTATCACAACTACATCAAACTTTTTTAAATGAGGCATATATGTTTATTTCTGAAATATATTTCAGTATATTTTTTCCTACGAAGTAACTGCATCTTAGTAGGTGATTAAAGATATTAACAACTTTTAGCACCTATTTGACTTTAACGTGTGAAGAATTCATAGATTTTAACAACATCAATGAATTCTGTGTAAGATCTTATGATGAAATAAACAAAATGAAACTTAAATGAAATGACTAATTGACAAACATGAGTGTTTGTTCAATATTTATATTAAAGGGAGAAACATTTAACTTCAGACTAATTTATACTTTAAAATTTCTTTTTATAAATTTAAAAATTGAGGTAGCAGTCTTTTTAGGCATTAAAAAGCATGCAATACAATTTAAATTTTAAAAAAAAATCACATTACATCTAGAATTTGAGAATTAAAACAATATGTAAAAAAGCAATGTCACATGCGATCGTTTTAGTACTATAATGAAGTACCTTCTTTAGTGTCAAAATACAGATATGTAGGACAAATTATTAACTGATTGACCAATAGGACAGGAGAACAAGACATTGGTTAGAAATTCTTCCTCCCACCCTATTGAAATGCTTTTCTTCTTTGTTGTAATTTGATGGTTCTTTCTCTTTTTTTTTTTAACACTGAAGAAGGTGCTTCATTATGGTATTGAAACAACCGCATGTGATTATGTGACATCTGCGCTTGTTTTCAATTTTATTTCTATTCAGCATAAAATTAACAATCTTCATTTAAGCAAACATCTTAGCTATTTATAGCTAAAAGACATTATCTCTTTATTATTAGTATTTTTATATAATTCGTGTGATTGATATGTAAATCACATTTAGTGAGCTGCAGATTGTTTTTTGGCAGTTGTTAGTAGATGGTATTGATCAATCTTATTATTTTTTTTCTCCAATAGAAACATTGAGATTGTAAACATAAGAAACTGCATTTCAAATTATGTATTGAACAGATAAATTTTTTAAAAAAAGTACCGAATTAAGTAAATATATGTTTTGCAACTTAATTAAGTTTTTTTTTTTTAACAAAAATAAATTTGCAAATATTAAAAAGAACCATAAACACTTCACTAGCAGCCAATTCAAATAAATCAAACTTATAATAATAATCACAAAATAGAAAACATGACCAGCGACTAAACACAAGCAAATATCAAAATTATAGAGTTCAAAAATAATTGTAAAAAAAATTCTTAAAAGCTATTAAGTGACTCTTAAGTACCAAAAAAAAATTGCGCTATTTTATGTAATAGAGAAAAATAAAACTTTATTATCACTTATTTAATTTTGAAGCTGAAATTTATTACTATTTTTCAGTCTTTAAGATCCTTATAAATATAAGTTTACCAAAGAAAATTTCACAAGTGAGATAAATTTCATACCAATTAAAAAATATTAAACATAAAAAAGAAAGAAATCTAACATTTAAAATAAATGTTTTGCGAAATAAGATGATTTATCGATAATCAGCTAAATTTTGTTAACAGTCAATCTTTAAAAAAAATTAACAAATAATAAAATGAAGGGGAAAAAAGAAATCTATCCATAATTCCTAAGGGTTTCAAAATAAATTACGATTAAAATTAATTTAATTGCTTACATTAACTCCTGAGTAAAAAAAAAAATCGATATTAACAGATCTACATTTGGTCCCTATTTAAAAATAATGAATAGATCAGTTTGTACATCTTCTCGTCAATGAAGCAAAAGGCAGAACACTGAAATGTTAGCCAAAACAATTTCATCCACACAAATACAGACTATTTTTAATCATATGGCAAAATGCACACAAAACAAAATAAGTTCGTTAAAATTAAAGAAAAATAAATATCCAGAAATTCAATAAGAGAATTGTCCTCCTGACATTTGTCATATGGCTTCATAATTTATTTTATCAATTTAAGTAGATTTTTTTTTATACTTCATTTAAGTACAGTAAACCTAGCTGAAATTATCATGCAACCTTTAAATAAAACATAAATAAAAAATGAAGTTCAGGATGGAACAATGTAGCAATTACTTTGTACAAATGTTTAAATTATATTTTGAATTTTGATTCCGGTGACATCAAGTGGAAACAGAAGTCGCGTAGTCTCTATCACTTGAATTCATTTGCCTTTGATCATTGGACAGCGACCACACCAGTTCCTCAGCCGTTAGAGGGTCCATTGCAACATTGGGCGGAGACATGGCGTGGCAATCGAAATCATACAATGTCAAATCAACATCTCCAAAAATTTCGTCCTCACTACTCGTAGGAGAAGATCCAGACGCAGAACTGGTGTTTTCTGTGGGACAGTCTGAGTTCAGGTGTGCAGAACTTGGCATTTCAAAGTATTCAATCTCAGTAGAGGCTGGCATTAGTGTATGAAGGTTAGTGCTAGATGAGGAATCGTCAGATATGTAGTCACTAGAACTATTGTCAGAACCATTGAAAGTACTGGTGAGCACAGAACACCAGTTCAAACGAGAGAATCGGTCACTCTCGTCTGTCCATAAGGCACCATTTTCCACACGTTCGTATGTAGTTCTAGAAAAGGGGGTAGCTTTAAAAGCATCTGTTTCCATGAAGCACCTTTCGTACTCAGATGCGAGATCTGATCCAGTATTCTCCATACCCCTTTGAGATACTGAATTTATCACAGAAGGAGTACCTGGTCTAGAGTCTACATCACTACTAGAGTTGCTAGGTGGTGGATCTAACGTAGTTGTGTTTTTGTGAGGTCTCCACTCAGGTATATAAGGCCCACGTCTCTTGCTGTTGTCGTCGTAGTAAAGTTCGGGTACGTTGATTCCATCCGATTCCATGGAAAGGTGAATGGAGCGTATAAAATTGCTAATTAAAACCTGCCTGCGGAAGTCGTGAGTTTTGAGTTTTTCGAGAGAGAATGCGATCCATTCTTTTCTCTCCTGGTGAGTCCGCGGCCTCTGTCTTTGGTAGACATCTTGACGAGGATCTTCATCCTCCTCAGGTGATCTCTTCAATCCTCTTGATTCTTCTGTATTCATATCAACTACATGGATGCTTGAAATCTCGGAGCTCTGAAACAAAATAAAGACACGCTTTAACATAATTTTAGAAATATATAATATAAGGAAATTTAACAGATTTTTTATATAGTGTGATTAAAACTTATCTATTTATTTAAATTTGACGTACAGTGGGCACAAAACAAACGGACCATCTTCAGGTTCCAGGACTCAATATACTAATTAGTTAGGCCCGGATTTTGATGACAATTGCATTTTTTTGCATTTTTGGACATTCTTTATCCTTTAGAGCATTTTTTGAGATTTATAGGGCATTTTCTTTAAAATTTTAAAGCATTTTTTAAATTTTTTGTTAAATTTTTCTAATTTTTATTATTACACTGTTTCCAAACAATGAAGAAAATTTCTAGGATATTAACAGGTGAAGCAACATCTTTTCAAATTGAAGAAGAATTGTCAGTAAGTGTGACCGTCCTTTTCAAGTACGCACCAATAACATCAGTCGACGTTGAAAGAAGCTTCTCCTGGTATAAAAATTTGCTTTCAGACAAGAGACGCTCGTTTACATTTCAAAATATTATTAAAAAAAAATTTAATAATCCACTGTAATTCTGATATTTAGTAATATTCTGAGATGGAAGTTGTCATATTCATTTAAGTTTCTATACAAAATGAAAATGTTTTGGAGTCAATATATTTTCCTTTTTTTTTTGTTATTTTTGGATATAAAACATATTTGTCAAACTTTAATGAACGTAGAACAAGTATTGCATTGCTTTATATTTTTTGAAACGACTCATAATAATTTTAAAGAGTAAAACATTGTTTTAGTTCAATATTTTTACTTCTATTTAAGTCATGTCTTAAGGCATTTTTAGCGCAATTTTCGCATTTTAAGGGCATTTTTTGCAGTTCATAAGGGCATTTTTTGCACTTTTTAAGGGCATTAATTGAGATTTTTTAGGTCATCAAAATCCGGGCTCTACTAATTAGTATAGACGATATTTTAAGTTAAAAAATCAAACACAAAAACGTTCTTTTTCTGATTAAACATACCTTTTTTTCCCTACAGATTTAGATTTCTAATCCCCAAAATATATGGGTTGGCCGCAATCTGGGAAATATGGTACTAAGTTGAGACTCCTTAATATTAATTTTACTTTTGGCGTATTATATTTCGCCATATTTCGAAGCGAATTGAAAAATTTTTGCATCCAATTATAAAATTGATTATCCGAAGATAATTCCACGCAAAGAAAAATAATTTTTAGTAAATATTTATTATTTTACTTCATAATAGTTGATTTTTACATGATTTTTAAAATTGTAATTTTCCATGATAAAATACGAAGTTTGAATGAAATCTGTAGCATAGTTTCTGACAGATTGAATTTTAAAAATATTACTTTATAAAAATTCGATTTTTCAAAAACTATTTGATAGAGTTTGCTTATTTTTTTTTTTTTTTTTTTTTTTTAAAATTTTTTTTTNTTTTTTTTTTTTTTTTTTTTTTTTTTTTTTTGCTATGTAAAATTACTTATTAATTAGCATATTTGAGGTCACCTCCTCGAACCATTAAGATAATAAATTATTCATGGTGGTCCGTTTATTGTTTAGCCCCTGTACAACAACAAAAAATCGAATAAATATCGAAAAGGAAAATTTTTTTATCAAAAACTTTCATTAAGCAAAAAAGAGTTTATTTTTTTAGTTTTATATGTAAATTGTGGATAAAATATCAAACAGATTGTTAATTTCCAGTTCGTTGTTCATTCAACGTATCCAAGAGACTGTTTTCAAAAGAACTGAAAGATTTCGGTTTTAAAATAAAAAAAATGCAATTATGTGTTATTGGGAGTCAAAATTGGTAAGATAATATTAATCACCCTGTGAATAAAACTGAATGAAAAACTCAGTTTCATAATTTTATCATAATCTTTTATAAATTTTAAGTCATTTGAAAATTGTGGTTTATAAGAAGAAATTAGGAAGAAAAGAAAAAAAAACGTCCACTTAAAAATTTTGAGAATTAGAACTTTTCTGTTTCTACTTCTTTTTATGAAATAGTCATAAGTTGACCTGTTATAAGAGATGTGAAGTTTTAGAACTGAGCAAACTTTTTGTTTTAATTTTTAAAGTAAAGAAATGAGAATCTTTTTTCTAAGGTACCAATAACCCATTAGATCACATTTTATAATAATTATAAAATATAATTGCACCATTAATCACATTAATTACAATAATAGCTCAGTTAATTGTGAAAAGTCGGTGTGTATAAAAGTAAGACCACCTTAGAAGAATTCTGATCAGTGATCACATTACTTCGTAGCGTGAGTTGAAAAACAGCTTTGAAAATTTTTTCAAATGAGGAAAATATTTATATTTTTATTACCAATCCATTATTTTTTTAAAGTCTATTAAAAAGTAATGAAATAAAATCTAACTCAATATTTAAATATTTAGAAATTACACTAATCTAAGGAACACTAAGGTGAAATCAAGATTTAAGATTGGCGGCTGTTAAAATGTTTTAAAAACATTTATATTATGATAAGATATTTCTTTTTCTTATCTAAAAAAAAGGCTATCGAAATCTTCGAATTGTTTTTATTAGAGAAAAAGTTTATCACAGCAGAAGTTGAGAGAAGACCAACAACACATCGCCATGGAAAATCCGCGGTTGAGCAGTGACCTAGTTTGCTGTTCCCAATACGAAGCGTGTACAGGTATCCTTGTTTGACGCTACCTTTAGAGAGCCTCTTACTTTAACTGGTCACTACGGTCCTCACACAAAATGTGAACTGGCCGTAACATTCATTAAAACTTCGCCTCATCACCAAATATTTATACGAAACTTTATCGTTTTCTTTTTTAAAATCAACAAGTGGGAGCATTTTTTTTTTTACCCCGCTATGGAGATTAAAACAATCTTTAATAGAATAAATTACGTACGATTCTAAATCAGAATAGAAAATTTTAATGTATAGCTAGAAAAGTAATCTAAGTTTTAGACGATTTTCAATCAGAATACATAACTTTTTATAATGTATCACAAGAACAATAATTCTCAAGTTTCAGACGATATAATTATTTAATCGTCTGATCGTTCAAATACTTATACGAAACTTAATCGTTTTCTTTCTTGAAATCAAGTGGGAACATGCTTTTTTTTTTTTTTTTTTTTTTNTAGATTTTGAAATCGCGTTTTTTAAAAAAAACTCAGATATGGAGATTAAAATAATCTTTAATAGAATAAATTACGCACGATTCTAAATCAGAATAGAAAATTGTTATGCATAGCTAGAAAAGTAATCTAAGTTTTAGACGATTTTCAATTAGTATATAATTTTTTATAATGTAACACAAGAACAATAATTTTCAAGTTTCAAACGATTCTCAGTTAGAAATAAAAAAAATAGTAAATATAATCCTTGAATTTTAGACGCCTAGTATTTTTATGATATCGCATGAAAACGAATTGTTCTTCCAACGATTTTGAATTAAAATTAACAATTTTTAATGAATCAAGAAAATAACCATTATCTAAATTATTTTAAAGTAACAAAATGCATTGAGTTAAATTAATACACAGTTATTGAGTGAATTTATCCTTTTGCGATGTTATTTGTCAGTCTGAAATATTGTACCAAAGATAAAAAATTATAGAAAATAAAAATTTTATTCCAATAATTATTATAATATTATTATTAATCTTATATTATTAAAACAAAATTTTTTATATTTTATTATGCATTTCTCAAAATACTGCATTCGTTTTTAAGTTTATTTCCCGCAGATTGATAACTGTTGTTAAGATTATATGAATGAATATGAAAAAAGTGGATTTTGATAAGCATATTAAAGAAGTTATTTTTTAAGTTTTGTTATAATAATTTTATGTATCTTTTAGTATATGGAGGATGATTTTTATTATTTCTTTTTATTCCATTAACAAAGATAAACTCTGAGGATTTAAGACCGAAATAAATTGGAAAAGTGTTCGATTTATTCTTTTTTTTTTTTTTTTTACACCTTATGTTTGAAGATCGTATGAAATTAAAAATGAAATACATAGTGTAAAATTTAAACCAAAAACTTAATTTTGCTTGATTAAATAAAATGCATTTTATCACTGTTTTCCTACTTCTAAATTAATAATCGCGAAAAATTATTCATTTAAAGTATTACATAACGTAATTTAAGTACAATCCTTAAATGTTTTTGGCTGTTGGATCTGGAGGATATATTTTGCCCCCTTTTAAGGGTAAATGTAATATTGTTCATCTTGTTTCGAAATGAGAGTAAACTAAATTGTTTTTCCTTTTAAAAAAATAAATAAATAAATAAAAAATTTTAAAAAAGCACTAAACAAGTTTTGTGGGGTGAAATAAAACAGTTGAATTTAGAGTGGGTCAAAAAACTTGTAACTGAACCTTGAAAAATTAGCTAGGTCACATAAAACATTATTTTAAAATTGATTAATCAAAATATTTATTTCGTTAAGTAACCATCTTAACTTTTTTTAATATATATAAAATTATTATTTTAACTTTCCAGTCGAAGTAGATCTCTAATAAGTCATTTGCATGAAAATTGAGATTTAGATATAAGAGATAAAAATCCAACAAATGACCTCATTGTAAAAATGCTGACCAACTTAATTAACAAAAAAATGTTTACAGTGTATAAGAGCATATTTATATTCTATCAATAGTGATAACAATTTCGTCTAAAAAAATTTAAAATTAATATAATATTTAAAAAATAAAATTAGAAAATTTAAAAACCAACATTGATTTTAAAAAAATGTTTACCCCCTCCCCCAATTTTGTTATACACTATATTTCAATTCCAATCTATCTTTAAAAAAATTAACCCCTTAGTTTTTCTGTTCACAAAAATATTAATCAAAAATTAAGCACCAATTAAAACCAATTAAGCAACTTTCGATTTAAACGAAAAATTAAACATGAATGATAATTATACAGAAATAATGTTTCCACTCTTGATTATACAAATTAAAACATTTTTTTTCTTAAGCGGAAAAGAAA